GAGTCATGGGTCCAGGGGAAAGAAAGTGTTGTGGGTACCCAGACATTTTAATCCCTTGAATTCAAAATTCAAGAGTTTCTCTGGTCTTTCAAGATGTCAGTAACATTGTTGATAAGGTCAGTGCACAAACAAAAATTGACAAAAAAAGTACCCAACCACTAAATTTACATTTACTGTTTTTTTTAATTTAGGGGTTCTTTTCACAAAATTTGGGAGTATTTGACAAAATTCAGGAGTCTGGGTGATTGCTTGACAGTTCAGGAGACTCCCTATTAACTTAGAGGTTTGGAACATATTTGTACCATGCATTTCGGTAAAGTATTCACTCGCCAATTGTCACAAAAATCATTAAGGTGATGATATTTAAATCAATCCCATTAATGAATATTGGGGCTAAAAAGTCGGCATTATAAACAAAGGTAATACCATGATGTACAGTAAGCATGTTCTATAATAAAAATAGTAGTATATTAATGTTTCTATAATTTGACCTTGGTTGATATTTTAGTAGCCATTTACCTTAAACATTTTTCACCATTGAAATTTCAGTTTTCAGTGGGGCCTGCTGTGAGGAATTGACTTAAGTATTAAAGTATTGTCATGGAACTCCATGGTATTTGTGAGTTAAAACAAAGAATTAAATTGTTTTAATTTGCCTAGTTTAGTCTTTTACTGAACCGTAGGTTAAGGTTTTTTAGGCTTTGACCTCTCTGATCCGCTTGGTCGTGGGCATTGGGCTTTGCTTTCCTGAGAGCCCATAGGTGTGCCATAAAAATCAAACTGTTGCTAAATAATAGAAATGATTTAAGGGCATCTAAGCATATTGTTTTAAAGTTTTTAAGATTGTGTATGAAACATTATTGTAATCCAAAAGTTAAGTACCGGTATGTTAACTTTATTTTGTAGAAAGTTAGTCGTTATAAGGCCACAGAATAGAGGAGACCACATGTCTAAATACTGTAGGCCTCTACAAAATCAATCTCGCCACTCCCCCTCCCAGTGTCTGTTAAATCATTCCAGTAATATGCTGCTCTTTCATAATTTGCAGACCACTTGTAAAATGATTCCGACTGCTGTATGAATAGTTAATATAAATATTGGCAATCCTTGGCACATACTGTATAACGTAAATATGTACCAAATGATAAAAAAAAATACGTAAAAATTATAAATAAATAAATAAATTTGAGAATTATTATTTTATATTTTTATATAAGAATTAATTATCGTTGTTACTTTAATAGCCTGAATTAGTCACCAAAGATGACGTCATCAAAATTTAGCTGAGTGAGTATTGAAATCGTTTGCATCGCCTGTTCTAAGTTCTATGCTAATGCATTGAGCGGAATCAAAAGTGGTGTATATGAAATATAGTTAGCGCAGACGATACTTTTTGTTATGTACATTGAATCATTCATAGATTGTTGAGTATAAGGTTGATTTGATTTAAATTTAAATTCAGACTGAAAATATGAATAGACTAATTGCTCACTCAACAGATCCAGCGCTTACTAAAGATGATCGCTGTTGATTTAGAGGTACATTTTCAGCTTAAATACTCACACCAAGTAATTTTGTTGCAATTTCTGTATGAAATATTTAAACTATTGGAAAAACCTAAATTACTGAATTGTTTAATAAGATGTTAATTTGTAGACATTGCTTTATTGAATAGTGATGTGGCAAACAAAAAGTTTAGAAACAGACATTATTTATTGATGGCTCCTTTATACACTATTTTACATTTACTTACATTGCAACTTAACCCACAGTTAATTTAATATAATAAACATTTACATAGTGCAAAAGACAGTTTCGTCAAAAGACAGAGATAGTATTTTCTAACTGCCCTTGCCTTTTCGTAGCTTGCCCGAACCTTGAGGGGAAGCCAATACTATGAAAACATAATTCTCACAATACCTTATAATACCAGAAATGTAAAATATGCAGAACATACACATCAGATATAACCTTCCAAGATGTTTCCATGTTTTAATTGTCTTGTCTGCTCTACGGCTAGAATTAGCAGGGTTAAAATCCTTGAACAAAACATAGATTGTTTCTCTGTTGTTATTTTTATTTATTTTATTTTCTTTAAATCTTTTTTTTTAGAAAAAAATGTAGAAGTTTAAGAAAACAAAAGGATTTTGCTAGTTGCTGAGCACTTGTGCTAAACAGTTGTGCTGGTATATTGTTATAAATGTTAAAATAATAAACATTATACTGTGTGCATAGTAATGGTAGATAAAGATCACTAAATTCTAATTGAAACATGTTTTTTTGCTTAATTTATTGTCTAGTTCACTATGCTTTAAAATCATAGTTTTATGTTTTAATTTTGAAATAACTCCAATCCATAAGTATTATATTTCTTACAATTTACATTTTTTGTTTCTTATTCTAATAGTAATAATCAGTTATAAGATAAAAACAACACAAACTAAGATAATGGTATTGGTAGGATATTTGTAGAGTGCCGTCCACAATAGCATCGTCTCAAGGTGCTGAACTAGTAGTCAGACCATGAATCAAATTGAAAAATACTTGAAAAAAATTAATTAAATTTAAAAATCAAAAAAATAAAATAAACAAGCCGTTAATGTCATCATAATGAAAGTAGATTGTGTTTGTTCGCAAAAATGAAAAAGTGTGTTAAAATATGCGCTATCATTTTTACTGACTGTGTGATATAAAATACAAAAGTGCTTGACAACCAAAATAAATTGGGTTAGTGGTAGGAGCGAGGAACTTTAAAAAAAAATATATATAAAGCAATTTATAGAAAAAAAAAACTTAAATAAGTTTATATTAAAACACAAGTTTCACCGAACAAAAACTGCATGTGTTTGAGAGTGGTTTATAAAGATATGGATAATCCGCTAAACAGCTCTATTGAAACGCATTTTTCCAAAATTTATAGTTAAATTCACTATACTTTATTTCTTTATATTATGGGTTAAGATGAGTATGATGTCATCAAAACTGTCATTGAATTTGTAACGTCTGTATTAGAAAGCCGTATTGCTCTTATTAGGCTGAAGACTGATTGAAAATGTTGTGTTATGGCTTTCCTTTTATAAACTTTCATACATTTGTTTTCTCTTTTTTCTACTTTTTAATTACATTGTCACTGGCATTTTGGCCATACCTACCGTATTTGTTGGAGGAAATTGTCAAATAAATAAATTGTAAATATAAATTCATTGCCAAGAATGATGTAGATTATCCCCTGTTTAAATCTTTATGAAATTATAACCAGCTCATGAGATTAAAAACCATAAAATTTAATAGATTGTTTTCTATAAAAACATCAATAAACTTTGACAAAGTAAATTGTACATTTACATTCTTAAATATAAAATATAGTCTTTGAAGAATATCAGAGATAGTTGCTTGTTAATTCTTTTGTAATCTCTTTCTAATGGAAAGAAACATGATTTAATCACATCATCTAAAAAGCATTGAGGTCGAAAAAAGAATACAATGTTTTCCTACTGCGACAATCTCTTTTAGTTTTTTTATGACATACATGACAAAAAATGAAACCGATAAAGTTATAACAAATGTAAAAATCTGATGTCATATTATTTTATTGTTGAATGTATGCTTAATAATGTGTTGAAACCATCTTTTCTCTTACTGTAACTGTATTTAATACAATACCTTGGTAAGATGGATTGTGTGGCCTTTGCTGTAATGCTTTACATCATAGCTCTACCTCTTTTAAATGTGTGTAATTTTTCTAAAACTCCAACAATAATTGTTTTTTTAATCTGCTGAAAGTTTGTGTGCAATGCTTTAAGATTAAAAATAAAGTAAAATAAAATAACAATTTTGAAAAAATTAAAATGAAAGTACCGGTAGTATAAATAGTAGGCTAATAATTACTTTAAAAAAAACCAGTACTACTCTACAAAACTATTGACAAAAACCTTCTATTCTGGCAGTACTGCAACATGAATTATGAGGAAATATGTTTTTGAAAGACAGACGGCAGTTTAATATTCTTCCGCGTTACCAGATCTCTAAAATTTCGTCTGCTATTAAAATTAGGTCTTTTTATTGGTTAATTTGATAGTTGTTGCTTGCCAGTTGTCTTCAGCTGAACTACAAACTAGGACTTGATTTAGTCGTAGTTAGAACTTCTACTACGTTGCTTGTGAATACAAATTGAAGTTGAAGTTGCAACTAAGACTAAATGAAGTTCTAGTTCGAAGTTCGACTAAAGTTCGTTTTAAGGATACGGGCAACAGTTTCTCAAATAGAATAAATCAGTAAGAATAGTCCAAATTGTATATACTCGCTATGATATTTTCATTTTACATGTCTTTTGAATAAATACTTTCATGGAAAGTAACAACAGATTGACCTTAAACATTTGCAACACACCACCAGCAAATGAAAAGCTGCTGGCCACATATTTGGCTTTGATTTTGGGTAAAAACTATTGATATTCTTGCTTAAATATTCAAAGTTTTTTTATCATTTTTTTTTTTCCTAAAATATTTTGTTATTTTCCAGATATTTTTAAAGGCAATATCAAATATTTTGCTAGTTAAAAAAGGTCATTCATAATGACGTCATCGCCACAAATTGCGTTTGTAAAATAAAAATGGAGTTTGTTATTCATTAGGTCGTAACAAGCGAGGTGCTCAAAAACTGCTATTATTCACATGTGTGCAAACGTAGAAAAAGCTGTGAACAGTACTGTATCTACAAAGAAGATTTTGAGAAAAACAGCTTTCAAAGATTTTTAAGTCAGAAGTTTAATATAAAGATGTACATTTTAGAAATAATGTTAATATACTTTTCAGGGGATTGGCATTTGGCAGAATACAGTAGTTCTTCAGTGTCTCTTTTTTCATGAACTACAAAATCCTGAAGATGTTGCACTGTTTTTCGCACATTTTACCTGTTAGTGTGAAATTTGAAATGCCAACAAATATAGGATTTTGCTAGAACCAGTCACACACATTAGGATTTCATGATTGCTTTTGCAGGAGGAAAGCAAGATTCGGTCAATGGATGCGAAAAGTGGAACCAAGTCTTCATTACCAAGCCCAATTCAGGATTTAATTAGGAGGATTTTCGATGTGAAGCTTATGAAAGAAACACTTTTAGAGTTTGAGGTAAGGAAAGGTTTAGTTATCACACAAATTTTATAAGTATTTAGAATTGTTCATCCATACAGCTATTCAAAAAAAAAATCTTTAATATACAGTAGAACCTCGTTTTTACGTACCCCAGTTATACGAACCCTCTGTTTTACGTACGCCTCAAAAACCCCGAAAATATTCAAAACAAACGGCCCTTTTGAGAGCAACCATAGTAAATAGAATATAACAATTAACTATAACAATAAACAAACCATAATGCAACGTATTTCCATTAAACAGCAACGTTGATTGAGTCTAATACCGGGTTGTTATAATCTAAAACCATGTGAACTGAGTGAGATGAACAGCTACCGATGGTGCTAAAAATTATTGCTTTCCTCCATAGCTTCGTGTGGCAAACCATGGAAGAACTCGTCTGGTCGAATTTTCTACACGAAGCTGAATAGACATAATTTCGTACACGAACGCTAATTGGTTGGCTCGCCCAGTGCATAGCACATGTTGCTATGTCACGTACACGAACGCTAATTGGTTGGCTCGCCCAGTGCAGCGCACATGGGTTTAGTTTGTCTCAACAGGCCAAGACAACACCAATCTCTGTTGTTTAGAATAGGCATGAAGGGGAATTACCAAGTTATACCTTTGTCGTATAGGTAATCTTACAATATTTCCATGTTCTTTATTTTAGTTAAATAATAGATATAAAGTGATGAATTAATACACTAGACACATGGTTTTATTTGAACACTTTATTATGACATCATAAAGTGATGAATAAGAACACTAAACACATGGCTTTATTCGTAGGCCTAGAGGCTAGGTATCATCGTTCGTTCGTACATACGTTTATTGAGCGTTACGTACGTATTAGGTCAAAGGTTACCACAAATTTAACCCAACCTCTATTTTACGAATCCCCCGATTTACGTACGCCCTCTGGTCCCGTACCGTACGTAAAATCGAGGTTCTACTGTATGTGGCGAAGACAAGCCAAACCAGTCACTCGTCGCAAAAATCAATGTTGAGTTTTTAATACAGTGTTAAAGAGTAAAATAAGAGCTATAAAATGGTAAAAATATCATTCAAATCCAACATTTCCTTATGAAGTTACAAGCATTTAAACATACAGCTGTTTAAAAGAAAGAAATCAGCCTTCAAAGTTTATGATTTAAGGCATTTCTCATGCAGAAACTATCATAAAATCATTAAAAAGTGTTGTTTTAACATTGAAATTGGGAAAAATTACAGCACAGCATGATGTACAGATACATAAACCTTAGTTTAGTGAAATAAAATAAATTTTTAAAAATTTTACATTCTAGCATGTTTTTGCTATTTTCTCTGAAACACAATTTGCGACGAGTGACTGGTTTGGCTTGTCTTTGCCACATATGTCAAAAGAAATCATCCAGAATTCCGTTTGTATAAAGTCCCCATTTATTACACAGCACATTTCAGATGCAAAAGTAACACATGGTTCTTCTATTATTGCCTAGTTCCCCTTTGCAAAAAAAAGTTAAGTTGTATTGAAAATAACTAATTTTCTATTTTGTGATCATCTATTGTTCATCTTTTCTTCACTTAATGTAGTTTATATGCTGCTATATGTTGTCATTTCTAATTATTTATTATCTAGATTGATCTTCAAAAGATGCCTTTGGGGAAGCTGTCTAAGAAACAGATAGACAATGCTTATACTGTTCTGTCTGAACTTCAGAAGGTAAAAAATGATATTAATGATCAGACAACTATTAATTTTTTTATTACTATCATAAAGAATATTTTACCATAGAAGATAATAGAGAGCTCTTTGTTATCTCATTTGAGAACCAATCCATTGAGAAAAGTGCATATTCTTGTGTATGATGTCAATTTAATTTATTACATACTTGTAACCAGTGAGGGATCATCAAAGGATGCAATGCACTGCCTACCCAAGCTGAAACTCTAAGGAAAATATTTATAGTTCCTTTTCTCTGTTTTAGCAAAATCTTCAATACCAACCTTAATCTTTTTAGTTGATTGCTATATTTCATTGGAATGGTTAAGTTAATGTTATACTTTATGCAGTGTTCGAACTCAATCTGTGACGTGACACTTTTGTATTTTCATGGTATTTCATTGTTTTTTGTGATGTAACATCTGTAACTACAGTAATGTTTTCAGGTTTTTCTGTCGGGTTTCATTCAGGTCTTCGATTTTCCAAATTTCATTGATCTCATCAAGGCGGAGGTGAAGTGAGCGAAGGTACATTCCTGTAATCATTCTAATAGAAAATTAGTATTAAATCACATTGAATTATAGGCTTAAAATTTGAATATCCACAATAGAATAGGTCTATATGCCTAGCTCTAGGATACTGTAACTCAAAACAGTCTGACAGCCTCAGAAGCTCGGACTAGAACCAGGCCAGTGAATAAATGACAACGATACCAACCACACTGTATTTAAGCCTGTAATCCACCAAATTTTCTGTAGTGTTAGGCTCATTGTACATACGAAGACTGGCCTTAGTATAGGCGACTAGGCCTAGTTCTCAAAATTAGGAAGGCCCAAGCTAGTAGTAGATAGGCTATGGGATATAAGCTGAGTCTGAAATTATATTACATGTTTTTTTGTGGACTGAGGTGTCTTGGATAATTTAAAATGGTCTGACTAGCCTCAGAAGCTTGGACATATTTGAATAACGATATTACTGTACCACACTTTATGTATGCTAGCAATCCTCCCACTGTATAGCATTTTACGTACCAAGACTAGACCCTACCTAGGCTAGCCTACAGTAGGCTGTGTTCTATTTTTTCTATGGCCTAGGGTAGGGATCTGGCCTGGCCTTTTAAAGTACTGTATTTGCTAGTCTAGATAGTAATATGGATATATGAGTGTATAATAGTATATTTATCAATCATTCAATCAATCGAATTATATCAATTTTTTCCAGACATATCTTTTAATACCAGCTGCTTTTCTGAACAAACAGCCCTCCTGAACAATTAACAAGTTAATTTTTGGTAAGTGGTTGCCTACAAAATATAAATGTACAAGATAAAGGGTAACTCAGTTTGGCCGTGATGTATTTAACATCCAGGAAATCAGGAAAATAAATGGCTTTTTTTCATTAGACGTAGAAGTTTATATTTATAAGGGTCTGATATTTGTGGGTGGCCACCTTGTGCCACATTTTCTGGTAATGAAATGAGTGTGGAATATGTCATTGTCAAAGGCCATCAAAGAGGAACGGTCTATTTGAATGATGTAGAAGTTGATATTTAAGTGCGTGGCCACCTTAACTTCAACTATTTTTTGGATTGTGTGGATATTTTATGAAGTTTAACCTGAATTAAGCAAACATAACTGAACAATTGCGGAAGTTTACATGTGTTAAAACACCATTGAATTGGGGTGGATTACGTAATTGCAGAAGAGCAACAAGGAGGAATGGTCTATCTGAATGATACAGATAAATTTATTGTCATAAAAATACAACATACAATTATGAAATTTGTTTTCGTTATTGCAAAACAAGTCCAGTAAAAAAATAAATATAATAATAATTAGCACATATCACAAAAACTACTGTACATGCACATTCAACCTTAATTTCCTCTTATTAAATTCAATATTTGCTGAAGGCAGAAAAGAGTTCCTAAATCTAACAGTTTTAATATTAGGCATTCTAATTCTTCCAGACTTATTAACTATTATTTCTCCATGGAAATGGTGTGTTTTATCAGCAATGTTTGTAGGTCAGAGTAGAAATTTTTGAGCTTTACCATTGTTTGTTTCTACTATTTTAACCAGTTATTCTAACAACCCTATTCAGTCTGCTATGTTCGGCCTTAGTTATACTATTATGCATACAGTCAGTGGTGGCAAAAGCAGGGGGCAGGTGGAATTTCCCCCGTCGGACAGGCCTGGACCCCCTGTTGTCTGAAACATGGCTAGGTCATCGGATGAAAAATTAAAAATAAATTTTGCCTATCCAACAACGTTATTTTGACTGCCAGTCCTTAAAATTGTGGTCTAAAAGCACATTTGGGAACATACTAAGTCATAAAAACTCACCACATGAACCCTATAAGGGTGTTTTTATTCTGGGCTGTCGGCCGACTCTTTGTCGGCCCCTTGTCTTAGACCCCTTCTTTAGACATGTCGGACCCCTTGTCTGCAAAATTTCTGGCGCCAGCGCTGCATACACTATAGCAAAAAATAAGTACTGATTGGATAACTAATAAAACAGTTCAATTATCTTTCTATGTATATTGAACTTTTTCATCTTCCTTAATATTTACAATCGTATTTTGCATATAATTTATCAGTGTTAAAGTTCCAATTGAATTTATTATCAACAAATGTCCCAGATATCTATGCTGAGATACAACCTACACTTGTTTATTTCTAATAACAAAGATTCATGTTCTGTTACAGACTTCCTATAATATATATTAATTTCCTTTGTTTTATAAATATTTAGTATCAAGTGGTTATTGAAGCACCAATTAATGGAAGAATCAACATGCTGTTTATATATAATCCACATGATTTTTCTCAATTAATATTTTTGAGCGTGGCCACCTTGTGACACATTCTTTGGTAAAGTAAACTCTAGTCTAAAATTTTATTTCATGTTTTTTTTCAGACATATCTTTTCTATACAGAGGAAATAACACTGAGATGAAGAATTAGCATGGATAAAACCAAATGTAGCATATTTAGTGGTCTGGCATGCACCCCCAACAGTTAGCAACAAAGGCTCCAGTCGATTGCAAAGTGATGTTTAATGCTGAGTTCCTTTCATCAATAGACTTTAAATAACATTAGCACCTGAACATAGCCAAGTACAGTTTCTTACCATTTAATTAAGTTTCCCCCCAAAACCTGCTTCCAGAAATATAGGGATGGTGTCCAACATTGTGAAAGCCCTGTTTTTATATCTAATATTTTATATATATAATTTTAGTTCCTTTCATATATAATTTCTGTGCCTTCTCATATTATCCAATACTGACTATACTATTAAATCATTGTCAGGATTGTGTTGTAGTAAATTGTCAAGTATGTGTTATAGTAAATCCTGATATTGCCATAGTAACCAGTAACCACACATTCAGGTAAAGGAAATTAAGTAGTCTATCCAAGGTGAGAATGATGTGGTCAAGATAATTTTGGAGGGAAAGTTTGAATGTCATTGGCAGGAAAATTTGAGACCATGAAATGGGCCAATAAAAGACAGGTTTCCCTAAGCCTAAACTGAAGCCTTAATTACCATATCCTAGTGTATAAATTTTAACCTGCAACCTCTCGCTATAAAGGTGAGCATCATGATAATTAGACCACAGAGGCTTCATGGTTGAACAGATTCAAATAACCTTCGGGTATATTGTATTACGCAATGGTACGCCTCAAGAGGGTGTTCAACCAGATAAATCTGGAGGTACGGCTGGAAACAAATATCTATTTAAAGACATTTAGACCCATCTGGTATTATTAAAACAAAGGAGGGGTCAGTACTAACAAATTAACATAGCATATTCCTTATAAATAGTCATCTTCTTTATGTACAGTAATTCATTATTTCGAGTAAGCTTCATTCAGAGCCTAGGACCTGATGGTTGAGGCTGTGTCCTCATGAAAGTCTGTAGTGCAAAATAAAATGTTGAGTTTGTAACTTAGTCTTTGATTACTACTTATTTCTCTGTGTGTGTATTGAGCACTTTTGTTTCATGATCAGTTTTACGCTATCCATGCAGATTGTGTGTGTG